GATCACTAGACAGCAAAACACCTAAATAAGGATGTTGTCGAACAGATACCAGGGTTTGGTGGTAAAGGGTGTAATCTTTAACTATCGGGGATTTACTACGGAAAACAGACATTCTGTAGCATTTAGAAGGATTGAACAGCATCTGCCACCTATTAGCCCATTGGCCTAGCTTGTCTAGGTCACGCTGTAAAGCCAAGGTGTCATCATGATGAGAGATTTTATGATACAATAAAGCATCACCAGAAAACAATCTTAGTGTACATCCTAGCCCATTTTGCATATCATTAATGAATAATGAAAACAATAATGGACCAAGTACTGAGCCTTGAGGTACCTATTAAGTCACATCGACATATTTTGAACACACGCCATCAATTATGACACTCTGAGATCTACTAGTGAGCCAAGGTTTAATCCAAGTAAGAGTACCTCCTTGAATGCCATACAACTGCAATTTCTGATGAGGCGTTGATGGAGAACTTTGTCAAAAGCTTTACTGAAATCCAAAATGATCATGTCCATTTGATCTCCATGATCTAAGTTCTTGGCCAGGTCTTCGACAGTCAGAATCAATTGAGATTCACATGAATGATTTTTTCGAGATCCATGTTGGTTCACAAATAAGATGTCATTGTCCTCGAGATGGTGCATAATGTGCCTACAAATAATTTGTTCATGATTTTACATAATACAGCAGTAAGGGAAAAGGTCTATAATTAAATGGGTCATGTTTTTCACCTTTCTTAAAAACTGGTACTACATGAGCATTTTTCCAGTCATTGAAGATTTGACCTGACTCATATGACTGGAAGAAAAGGAAAGAAACAACTTCAGCTATTTCTGATACAGTTATCTTAAGGAGAGTAGTAGGCGATTTATCTGGGCCATTGGCTTTCTTGCTAACTATGTTCCTAATAAGATTAATTATACCCTCTCTGTTGAAAATCATGCACTCCATAGCTGGAATGTCATTGCAGCCTATGTTCAGCGTGGACGAAGAATCCTCTTCAGTGAAAATCTGTTAAAAATGATTGATTAAAGCTTCAGCTTTACTTGTACTGTCAGTCAACACCTTACCATTAGCATATAATGGGGGAATGCCAATTTGATCTTGTTTTTTAGATTTAATATAGGACCAATATTTCTTTGGTTTCTCCTTCATGACACTATCAAAAGTATTTGCTATGTATTGATCTTGTGCTGGTCTAAATTTTGTTTTTAATGGTTTATGGAGACTCCGATACTTCAGCTTATCACTAGCTTTCCCTGATTTCTTATAGATGTTATAAAGCCTCCTCTTTTTTCTCAATAGTTTCTTGAGATCCCTAGTCATCCAAGAGAAATCATTTCATTATCCGATCTTTTTTTTTGGGACTCTACTATGAAGAATTGACAACAATCCTGACTTGAAGAACTGCCAGTTATCCTCAATGTTTATATTCTCTGGGTCTATTTGGAAGAAGTTCTAACTGAGGGTTTCTGCATCATGGTGTATATCCTCAAGATTTGCCTTAACAAACTTGTATACTGTTCTAGGTTTCTTCTTGCCAATTTTGACTGTAAGATTCAACTCAAAGGTCACAGCGATGTGATCATTAATACCACTGATGCCATCAGAAATCATGAAGTTGCCCACCAGATCTGGATGGCTGGTAACCACTAAGTCAAGCGCTGATGCCTGCCTTGTAGGAAAGGGCACAAGTTGAGTGAGACCATGATCGTCAATAATGTTGAGGAATGTCTGATTCACTAAAACACCATATTGTGGATCATGACTTACAGTACTTGTAATGAACGCTAAATTTAAGCCTTTGTTTTCAGTGATTAGCCTCTACTCTTTCTGATTCGCTAATTCGTTGCTTAGCAATACGTCACTAGCCCTTACACGTGCACGGTAGAGTTAAAGTTCATCGTGCACAGTATATGTGTCAAGTAAATTAAAGCTTAAGCTACCCTTCGCTATTTAGAGTGCAATCGGGAACCGATCTGTGAGTATAAACCGTTTTCGTTTGTCTTAGTGTTAAACTGTATAGTTATACCTCTCTAGCTTAGATTTTTGCCTAGCGATTTCCTACAAGAATATCTGGTAATGTAATGTAAGTTGTTTTCTTGCTCAATTGTTCCCTAATCGCTTGCAATTGCGCTCATACAAACACGTTTTATAACATGGTGCAATTTTATTTCCTTCAAGATCTTAGCGTTTATCGTAACTAGGAGTGTTAGCAGTATCTACACCTGTCTAGAATCATTCATGTTCTTGATCGTTAATCATTCAAAAGCTGGTTTTATAAACGTTGTCACACAGTAATAATGATTGGAATGTTTATAACTATTGACTCGTGACTTGCAGTCTTCAGCGAAATCCCTTATTACCAAGAATTAGTTTGCTGCATTGTATTTCAGTTTACGTTTGATTATTGCCAATAAATTCAACGTTAACTACAGTTGGTTTTCCGTGATCTCAGGCACAGTTCAATCAGTAAAGCATCCCCTCACACACGCTCTATTCACCGCGACACGTTGTCTCGCAAGTGACCTTCGGTCTTTCAGCAATCGCCGTGAATCTGGCGTTACAGTATTATTGGACCAATCTATGTCAAGAACATTCATGTCACCAGCAATGATAATTCTAGGAAAGGATCCATTAGCATGCAAACAATCCAATGGATGGTTGAGAGCATGAAGTTGTTGTACGTCGCTTCCTGGTGGACGATAAAAAGAAGCTATATACAAGGGCTTCTGATTAGCCATTTCAATCTTGATCCATTGAGCTTCACTTGACAATCAAGTTGGGCTTGACGTATTGCAATAATAAGATCATGCACAGCGATAAAAACCCCACCTCCAGGATTGGCATCGATTCGATATTTACGAAATACATCGTAGTCGCAGGGGAAGACCTCAGAGTTTTTGATTGACTCATCAAGTTTAGACTCAGTTCCTAAAATGATATGAGGTTTCTCGTCCTCGACCTTAGCTTTGAAGAGGCCACTTTTTGTTGACTCTTGATACTGCTGCAATTGAGATTTAAAACTTTCAGTTTTCTCAAGTTTTGTTTTCTCCCTCGTCGAGAAGAGATATAATCACATTTCGAGTTGGGAGTGAAATGATCTAACAGGTTTGAGTCAATGGATGAAAGCGAAGAGAAGGAGTTATTATTAAGGTTACTTTCCATGGACGAGTTAAATAGTAAATCAGAGAAGTTCGGTAGCCCGCAGTCGCAACATATCCACAAACAGGACGAATTTGCCAGGATATCGTACATATGATCGCCAATTAGACAGCAACGAGTGTGATACCATCGGTCGCACGAATCACAGCAAATGCCCATCTGGTTTATCTTAACAGGTTTGCTACAAATTCCACAAGGGAACTTTATCGGGCTGGCCAGGGTTTTGATGAATATCTCCGCCTAGGAGAAGGAGGAAGAAAAACACTCTTGTTGTCGTGACCTTTCTTCGCGAGCCCAAATGGCGGCCAGGCGGCGAGTTGGACTTGTACTAGAGTAAAACGCTTCCAGGCCAGATTCAGGTGGCGGCATGATGTTGTTTCCTAATAACGAGTAACGTGGAGACTTATCATCTCCCAGTTCAGGGTAGCATGAGAGCCAAGAGCAAAAAAGGGAAGCAAACAGGAGAGGAAAAACGAGAGCATAATGAAACGTGACCGCCATTACATGCACCTTAGGATGTAGTATTTCGAAAAAGAAAATATTTGATAGCAGAATCAACAAAACTCATCGGAGAGTCAAGTTGACTAAATGTAGAGCGCACCTTACCACATTCTGCATTGAGAGCTTCTGTTGTGGACGACAAGGCCTAGGCACGATGTATCATTGTCTTTAATAAAGAGTCTTTACAGCGTTTAACAGTGTGACTTTGTTAATAGGCAGTGTGTTGTTTATCTTTTTTCACGTGATCTGTGTGATACAGATTATGTCGGATAGACAGCACGAAGGCTTCATCAACGCACTGCTGAGCACAAAAAATTCGACAATCGGTAGACATTTCATAGAAACTCACGGTAACAACAACCTCTTGAAAGAAAACCAATTCAAAGTTTTAGGAAAGTGCCAGGGAAAATTCGATTCTTTTGTATTTGAAATGCTCTTCATCAAGAATGCTAATGAAGCCTAATTTAAATATCCAGACGGATTCCATACGTGCGAAACTTTTTGTTTAATATTTTGAATCATCTGTTACTCACGTTACAGCTTTTAATCAACTATTGTTTTCTAAGTATTTATAGACTGGAACTCACAAACATATTTTGACTTGATAATGACGTTTAGCTAACGTCGAAACTTCGTCTTTTAGCAATTTTTTAATCTTAAAATGATTTTAAGAAATGTTTTATCGCAATTTTTTATTGTCAGATTTCAAAAAAGACTTAGAAATGGAAAATCTCGCATAACATGTTAATAGTTAACTCGGGTAACACAACGTGCCACGGTCACACAGTTATTCGCTTTCCTTGCATTTCGCATTTTGCGTTCTAAATCTAGCCTCAACTAAAACGCCGCAAGACTCCTGCCCTCGCTAATTTTTATTTTGTCGACTCGACAAATTCGTGATCGTGAAAAGCCTTGCTGTCAACGATATGTCATCATACTAACTTAATAATGCGTCGTTAACTAGATACTTCAGTATTTCCAAGTTTGTTGTATTGTTAGCCTTTGCTAAAATTTCCCGTCAAAATAAAGAGTTCTTGTTTCACATTAGGAAATCTTCGTTATTCAATCGGAATAATAGCTTGGAAGTTCATTAAGAGATAAGCCGCTATTTAACTTTGGTACGTGACGCTATACCACAAGGTTATATGTTTTGTGAGATGATACTGCATTTAGAGAAACAGCCGCAGTTGAGCTTAAAATTCTACCTCTCATGCGATAAAATAACAGAAAATGGTGTTCACGGATCCTAAAATAGAGCTATTTTGAAGGCAATAAAACTGTTTTACTCATTGCTTTCGTCTGATTGGCTAAATAGCTACTGGATATTCCCCGCTGGCATCTTTGTGACCAGAATCGTACATAAACCATAATCTTTCAAGCAGCACCTGTCTTAGCCACGAACAACAGCACGAATATCTCCTTGAAAACATTCTGTTGAACAAGCCAACTGCAGTGAGCTCAAGTTTTCGAACATTTCGTAAACACATTGTCATATACAGCAAATTTTCACCTTAAGCAGGATGGCTGTTGTTAAAATAATGCAAACTGCTGTTTCAAGGCTTGGCTGGTAACCTCTTATCCTAGAAAACAAACGAATGGCAGAAACGTGCAGAACGAAACTCGAAGCTGCCGTTTTAATTTTAAGCTTCTTCCTTCAAAGCGTTATCATTATTCCGATTTCCTCTGAATGTTCCGGTAAGTCAATTCTGCAATTTGTAAACGATGGATTTGCTTTGTCTAGTTTTAGGAGAGTTCTGTGAAAATTGATGTCAATTATAATATTATTGTTACATCTTCTCGCTGAAAAATACCCATAAGTGTCGCTGTTGGCAAAACGCGACGCAGTGATTAAATTTCCAGTGGACTTGTGAACCGACATATAGAGTATAGCATAGTTCTATCTGCCAAGATTGACTATAGAAGGGATGTAGATTAATTACTTTCTTCTTTGACGAGTAGCTCCTCTCTGGTTTTTACAACTTAATTCAGTGTACATTCAAAATCTAATGGTGAAATCACAGATATAATACCTGCTAAGAAAAGTTCTTTCTTCAGTACAAAGCTGACATGCAGAGGTTTCAAACTCCTGGGATAACGTTTCAGGGAAACCTCTCAGAGCACAATAAGGCAGCAACAAACCGTTATCCAGTGTCTCTCGAGGCAAATCAATTTGTTAAGGATTTTACCCTGACATTATCTTATTCTAAACCAAAAACTGTGCTTGAACTTGTTTTGTCATTTGCAAACCAAATAGGTGAAGAATGCCGATCCATTGTTTTCAAAGAACCCATACAGGACAAAGTCATGAAGGGCCACCTGATCAGGCTTGAAGAGGTGCCCCATCAAGGCAGCTGTAATGTGCTGTGTTATATGGAGCCCAATTGTGTGTCCATAAATGTTGGGCCTTCACAAGCTAAAGGAGGGAACTACATTTGTGAGTTGAACAGTGCTTCGGACGAAAGTCCAGGCTCGTCCTACCTTCAGAGTAAAGAAGATTATAGCCATCTCAGTATCGAGGTAAAGTGACTTATTTAGACAATGAACAATTGTTGTTGGTCTAATGAAAGATAAAGTGTAATTATTTCTTGCCCGCTCTTACTTTGTCAAAAAGTCACGAGAAGTTATCGTTCCAGCAAGAATGTGTCCCTGTGAGATCACATGATAACCCGGGAAAGTAAACTAGCCATGGATGTTTATGATACGAGGTCATTTTGTCTTCAACAGAATCCTTGTAGTAGCAGTCCCTGTTTCAACAATGGCACATGTCGAGCTGGATACACTGATAAAGGATTTCGTTGTAAATGTCCTTTAGGATTCACTGGTGCATACTGCGAGAAAGGTAACTATGCACAAAACTGTAAAGTGGAATGAATAACGAATAATAATCATCGGGAGGATGAAAATTTCTGTTTTTTTTTGTTTTTTTTGTTTTTGTTTTTGCTGTTGTTGTCTCTTTTTTTTTTTAATGTAGCCTGCAGCCTTGACTTTGAAGATGGAATCGGTGGTTGGGAAATGACAGGCGGAGCTTTCATTTACCAGCCAACATTCGCTGACAATCCAGCAGCTCGCGGAAGAGAAAGCGCCAATCTACAAGGGGACTGGTGGATAGGGGGAGCTGAGAAACGGCCCAGTGAGAACGATACCGCCGGGGTTCAGCATTCAGATGGACCCGATGTACCCCAAGGAACTCTCACCTCACCTTGTTTTCGTATCGTTGGCAAGATGGAAAGCGTCACCAGCTTTCACATGAAGACGGCCATGACAAGATGAAGGACGTCATGTTTACATAAAACTTCACATTTCCCCGACTTCTTTCAAATATGTAAATTTTTTGAGTGAAAGTAAATTCTCAATTCCTTGACGTCCTTGAGGTAACTCGTTTTTCCTTGACATATTACTGATCTGTGGAAACCATGGAGGGACTAGCAATTTTCAAAAATGCTGCAAGGGAACGCAATGCAGATTTACGGTTTTATATATCCATAGTTGAAACTGCACGAATTGTATAGAGTCAAACATTTTAGCCAATGGAGGTGTTTTTAAATTGAAATGTTAATTCTTAAGTGTATTTTAATGCACGAAAATAATCGAATGATCTAAAGTATGATATCGAGTTATGCACAAGTAGCCTTTTATCTCAGATTTGTAACACACAAACGCTAAATGGTGTCACTAAACTCAGAAACTAACCAAAATTCAAGTGCAAAAGAAGGAGCGAGTGGGGGGAACCGCATTTTCTTTTAAATCTTCTTTTCTTTTTTTAATCGATTAAAGCTGGCCGGCAATTACTACAAGACTAAACGATCTTACTTTTTTCAGAAAACAGCTCAGCTATATAATTGGCAGATACAAGTCCTTCGTTAATCCTTTAATTTCAAAGGGTGACTAGCTTCTAATTTCTTTCCGAAGGTATCGCTGCGTTGTCGCTGGACCAAACGAATAAGGAACAGCATGGAGCAGATACATACTGATGCTGAGTTGTAAAGGGTTAAAAGAAAGCATATCTCATCATTTCGTTGAGTATTCTTAAAATATTTTGATCAGGAAAAATGCAGGGAGACATGATTCGTCTCGTAATCTTCGCTTCAATTCTGGACTGCGCATCTGCCAATGGCCAGTGCAGGACAGAGATCAACATTCAAGGTATGAGACTTGAAGGATTCGTGTTTTCAAGGATGTCCGCATCAGCTCCCCATATCTGTGATGTCCGATGCGAACGAGAAATCGCCTGGCAAAGCTTTAACTACAACAGGAAGGAGAAGATCTGCGAATTGAACAACCGCACCAAAGAGGCGAGGTCTGGACGTTTACGCTTAGATCCTGCTTGGTTCTATATTAAGCGTTTGAACGAAAGAGGTTTGTAGTCATTTGGGAGTGGAACTTTGTGTTGAGATTTCTTTTATTCTTTTTTGCACAAGCACCCACGAAAACTGCTGTCTAATTATATCCAAAAAAAGTGAAGAAAGTTTTAACCAGCCTTAATAACTCTACTTTTATTCTTTTTGTGTTCTTGCAACTTTAACAAGATCAAAAGTTTTCATCGAAGTGTGTTCGTTGAAGTTTTAAGTTATAAAACCAGTAGTTAACAGCATGATTAAAAAATTCGATTTAGTTTGATTTTGGCGTTTTCCTTCTAATTGTTTTCGTTTATTTTCAATTACTGTGATTTTTTTTTTCTGTTTATATCACGCAGCCTGCAACTTTGACTTTGAAGATGGAATCGGCGGATGGGAAACGACAGGCACAGCTTTCATTTACCAGCCAACATTTGGTGACAATCCCATCGCACGCGGTAGAGAAAGCGCCAAGCTGCAAGGGGACTGGTGGGTAGGTGGAGCTGAGAATCGGCCCAGGAAAAGTTCTCCTCCAGGAGGGCAGCACCCAGACGGAAGCGACCCACCTCGGGGAACTCTGACTTCTCCTTGTTTCCGTATCGTTGGCAAACATATCTCGTTTCTCATTGGTGGGGGCTGTAACGTAAGCGTTATTCGGGTGGAGCTTATTGTCAACAACCAGGTGAGTACGATTAGATTATGTAGAAGTAGTTCTTTCCACCTCTTTTGGCTTTGTTTTCTTCGTTTTGTTGTTGCTGTTTTCTTAACTATTGGCCTTCGGCATTCACTGCAAACCCTTTAAGATCAAAACTTTGTTTGCGTTCTTTATAGGTGTGGCCTATATATATAGACTAAAATTAATTTAAGAAAAAGTGATCTTTTCGTCTCGTGCAAAAACGCATGAAGATACCGTATATCCTTGAATAAACGTCCATATTCTGATAAGCGACTTTCCTTGACTAAGTGCCCATCCCATGGGCCGTAATGTCAAACAACCGCCCCTCTTTTTCCCTCACTCTCTTAAATAGCAAGCATACAAGGAAAACCTATATCTGTTACTACTTTATTTGTAAATTTTTAAGCTTCAGTCTCACAGTAGCTGAGACAAGATTAATTCCCTGCTTTCACCTTTGAAGCTGTTTGTGTTTTTTGCTAGACCGTCAGAAAAGAGACAGGCAACTGTGAGGAGACAATGTACCGCAAGAGCTGGGATGTGGAAGAATATATTGGTCAAATAGCTCGCGTCAGACTATTGGACGAGACGGCTTGTTGTTGGGGCCACATCAACTTTGATGACCTTAAAGGAGATATTATTTGTCCGCATGATTTAGACAAAGAAAAGTATGAAGAGGTAGAAAGAGCATGAAGGATCATCGGCTCTTAAAACCTAAATGTAGCAAATCATCGGCTCTTAAAACGTTTCTGTAGCAAATCTTTCCCAAATAAACCATGGAAATTCGAATCTATTTAATGGCGTCACAATTGATTGCGGGGAGCTCAGGGACCGCGTACCAGTAAGATCAATTGTGACGATGTTCATTTTTCGTCGAGCTCCAGTTGAAAATTATAACAACGAACCAATCAGGGCTGCTAAAATAAAGAGAATGGCTTTAGCAGTACAGCTTTAAAATGTTTGTTTTGGAAGGTAAACAAAAACGGATTAAGCGCCGAGTTAAGATAGCCAAGCATCAGCAGCACCAGGAAAACTTCGTAAGAAATTGGATTCAAAGCACCTAAGGTGACCACCATGCTGAAATACGCGTATTGCTGCCAGCAGAAGAAAATTGCCAAGACGAACATCGAAGTAGTCTTGGCTGCTTTGATATTCTTCAAATAGATTTTGCGTCCTTCTTTAGTAGTCTGTTTGGTTGACGGTGAGCTAGCGCCTTTGTTACCCTTGGTTCCATGGTTGCGGGCAATGCGATAAATTAGGACAAAACAAACATGTGACCAGCAATGGGAGTATACAATTTAAGAGAGAACTGAGCATGAAGTAAACCTTAGTGTATGGTATCATACATGCTTCCTCGAAGATCGGCCCTTCAGTTCTATCTCGCCACCCAATGCGGATGGTAAGCAGAGACCATAAAATACAGTAAACCCACACAAGGAAGGAGATTGTTACAGCTCTTTTCATGGTCATGAAATGTGAACGTCGAAACCGAGCGAGAGGATCACGAAGGGTATTGTATAGATCCATGCTGATGACTAAAAGCGTCAAAACCGAGCTAGTTAAAGTGATGAGGTACACTGTAAGCCAAGTTAGGCAGAAGGCTTCTCCGTGTTTCCACAGTCCATGTAGAAAAAGCGATTCGATATCAAATGGCACGACAAGGGTTACGATGAGAAGGTCCGAGATTGCCAAAGACAACAGCAAGAGGTTTGTAGGATTGTCGCGGAGTTTTCTGTCCTTGACGATAGCGTAACAGACAGAGAAGTTGCCGACGATAGCCACTAGTGTGATAACAATGTAGCAAGTGGCAACTGGATACAAAAAGGTGGGTTCCGAATCAAATGGAGTCGTCTCACCGCTGGAATTGTTCATTATCCGCACTGCTCGGCTCTATCCACATGAAACTTTCCTTGATGATTTTTCGCGACCCTCTACAACTTACATGGGCTGCCCTCAAAGTGTCTAAGAAGATTGAGGGTTTGGGCAAGCACACAATAATTATACTCGAAAGTATACTAATTTATGTAACCGATCTAGTAGGAATTTTCCAAATCAGATCAATCACGAAATTAACTGGAAAATGATGGTAAAAATTCTCTATAGCGCATATTACCTGTTAAGTAAAAGGTGAAATACCCCTCTGATATTCCCACCCCTCTAATATAACCAGTATCATCACTCTAGTAAATTTTTTACGTCACAGACTCTCCTCGACAAGATAATAATAATAATAATAATAATAACTTGAATTTATACAGCGCTCATATCTTGAACTCATGGCGCTTTACAACACTGTACGGGGGACTTTACTAGACTGCTAAGCAGTTTACAATCAAATAAAGGCGAATGTGACGGATGCCCCCTCCCCCCGATTCCCAGTAACCAGGCCAGACCAATCACAGTAATCTCGTGAAGTGGGTTCCTTGACGTTCCCTGCTTAACCAAATTAACTAATTAATAGATGCAGGAGACGGGACCTTCATTTATCCGTCCCTATCCGAGAAGACTAGAATATCTAACCATTTCTTAATTGATGTTATAGAAAGGTAGCATATTCTTCTCAATTATTTTAAGACCCTAGAAATCGAATAGAAGTTTTATTCAAATTGGCAACAGCTTTTACTTCTCATAAATTCTCCGAGTTTATGGTAGAAGAACAGATTAAATGAATTTAGTGAGTTGTATATGAGTAGTATGTTGCAGTTGGCAACTTGACCTTGGCTGAGGAGCAGTATTACAATGCCAGCGACAAATAAGAATTTAACACCTTTGTATTGTATAAGGGTCAACAAAAGATAAATATTACAACAAATTTACTCATTTAAAATAACCTCCTCATTTGTTTACTTTTTTTATCATCTAATGGAACAACGTCCGTTTTGGGCTTTTCCGTGATGTAACCGAAATGCCAACATAAAAAAACTACGTCATTTGATATTGACCTGCAAAACGCGATAACAATATGACCGAGTGCGAAGTCTATTGTGAAATACTGCCTTAGCAGGTGCTTCTAGAACTCGAAAGTTGAAAATCAAAACCGCTAAAAATTCACCCTTGACGAAGAATTTGTGCCCCGAGGGAAACACCTCTAGGTTACTTAACAGTGTTCTAAATGTAGTTACATTCCGTGAGGTGATGTGGAAGGAAACATTTGATAACTAGCTTATTCATTGAAAAAGAGCCTGAAATAAGTAAGTTGTGATGAATTAGATTATACGAGTTATTTTAATTACAATTACCGCAATTAATATACTGTCATATATTAACCTGTTTTGATATTCGAATACGTATTCCTTTGTGACTACCTGAGGCTGAAACACATTCACAAACAATCAGTTTGTCCTTCAGAAAGGTTGGTAAGACCGAGAAGCATTAATAATGAACAATTCCATCCGTGGAGCGACTACAGTTGATTTGGAACCCACATTTTCGTATCCAGTTGCCACCCGCTCTATACATGGACTGTGGAAACACGGAGAAGCTTTGTGCATAACTTGGCATACATTGTATCTTATCACTGTACCTAGCTCGGTTTTCACGCTTTTAGCCATCAGTGTGGATCGATATAACACCCTTCGTGATCCTCTCGCTCGGTTTCGACGTTAACATTTCATGACCAAGAAGAGAGCTGTAACAAAATTAAGACGTGGAAAGGAATGACAAGGACACATCGAAACCAGTCACTAGACATTTTAATTTACCTAATCATTCTAAGCAACATATGGAAATCTGCGCTCTTTCCTTACACTTAGGTAGCACGGAAAGCCGTAAAAATCTTGACTAAAAGCTCATCTTTCAAACCGGCAGTATAAATCCCACAGGGATCAACGAACGCTTTTCATTCCACTAATTTATTCTTTTTTTTCTCGTTGCCATGTTCCCACCAATAACGTACCTCCATTTTCTGCCTTTAAAAGCACACACAACCCACAATTCCTCTATTCGCTCCGACGAAGGGCTAACGCTCGAAACGTCAGCTTTTGTAATCGTTACGGGGGCCAATTTACCATTTCAACTTTGTTGATATATCCACAAAATTAATCTCCCTCCTTGTGTGGGTTTGGAGGCGCGGTGGCCTCATGCTTGGTGCGCTCGACTCCGGATCGAGTGGTCTGGGTTAGAGCACCGGCCGGGACATCGTGTTGCGTTCTTAGGGAAGACACTTTACTCTCACAGTGCCTCTCTCTACCCAGGTGTCTAAATGGGTACCGGCAAATTAATGCTGGGGGTAACACTGCGATGGACTGGCATCCCAGCAAGGGGGGAGTAGAAATACTCCTAGTGGCTTTATGCTACAGAAACCGGAGTTAAGCACCGGCCTGATGGGCCACTAGGCTCGTAAACAGACTTTACTTTTACCCTGTGAGGGTTTATTGCATTTTATGGTCTCTGCTTCCCATTCTTAGGTGACGAGATTGAACTGAAGAGCCGATCTTCGAAGGAGCATGTATGATACTATGCACTAAGCTTTACTCCATGCTCAGTTCTCCTTTAAATTTCTTACTCCCATTGCTGGTCACATGTTTGTTTTATATCCTGATTTATCGCATCGCCCGTAACCATGTACCGAAGGCAACAGTGGTGGCCTGCCGTCAATCAAAAAGCCTACTATAGAAGAAAACAAGATATACTTGAAGAACATGAAAGCAGCCAAGACTACTTCCATGTTTGTCGTGGCCATTTTCTTCTGCTGGCAGCTATTCTCGTATTTCAGCATTGTCACAACTCGATCGGTTTGAGGCCATATTCTTACGAACTTTCTATGGTACTGTTAATGCTACGCTACCTTAAATCAGCGCTAAATCCGTTTTTGTTCGCCTTCCGAAACAAGCACTTTAAATCTGTATTTTCAAAGCAGTGTACATCCCCAGAACTTGTGTAGTCCGTATACTTGTCGCGGCTCGACTATCTCAGTGTTGTATCCTTGTTTTCTTGAGCGAAATGTGTTCCAGAAAGGCTTAAGAATTCTGTGTTCATTGTGAGTACTTCTGTTACAGCTGGGCAGTCTTCGAAAGCAAAGGTGAAGACAAATGTAGTATCTAATGCAATTTATTGTGAATTTCGACAATACCCCAGATCGTGCATCTATTGAAATTTCCTTTATCCCAAATTCCAGAATCAGTCTGATTTCAAGTTCGAATTGAACACCTGGGTCTGGAGCAATAGTGTTTGTTTTGGGTTTTTGAAGAACGAAATTTCTTCTAACATAAGGTTAACTGCACATCAAAATAAATAAACACATAGATATGAGAACTGTACCGCGCGAGATTGACACTGACGAGTGTTGACGCAAGTAAAGAATCACCAATCCTCCCTGAAAATTACAGCGAAAAAAAAACTACTAGATATTGAACTTTGCAGGAAATTTATACAAGTTGGTAGATATGCACTGTAAGCTTTCCGTGACACTCACACAATGTTGCATCAAACAAGCTGATATTAAGTTTAAAGGCTGCTAGTTTCTAAAGAAACTGTTAGGGGCTGCGTCGGTGGGAGTAACGAAATAATTTGGATATATCAACAAAGTTGAAATGGTAAATTGGCCACCGTAACGATTACAAAAGCTGACGTTTCGAGCGTTAGCCCTTCGTCGGAGCGAATAGAGGAATTGTGGGTTATGTGTGCTTTTAAAGGCAGAAAATGGAGCTACGTTATTGGTGGGAACATGGCAACGAGAAAAACAGGAATAAATTAGTGGAATGAAAAGCGTTCGTTGATCCCTGTGGGATTTATACTGCCGGTTTGAAAGATGAGCTTTTGCTCAAGATTTTTACGGCTTTCCGTGCTACCTAAGTGTAAGGAAAGACCGCAGATTGCCATATGTCATCATATGGCAATCTGCGGTCTTTCCGTCGTAGTGATGCAGGAAAACCAGCCTGGACAGCTGAACAGATTCACGGCATAATGGACATTCAGACTAGAAACATTATAAATAAAGAAAAGAAATTCAATGAGGAGTTCCCTTTGCTTCTTCTTCTTTCGACTTCTTGTCCAGTATATTACTTGGCATCTTCAAAGGCTTCAGTCACGTTTCCCGGCCACAAGCGGCTGCCGATGGTGTCATGCGCAGCTACGCCGTAAGGCGAAACCAAAACACGAGAGCCAGTTCGCTGGCAGTAAATAGTCTTTCTATTCGCTGGCAGTGAATAGTCTTATTGGCAGCGGTAGACCGACCGCGTTCGGATTTGAATGAAACTCCTATATTTTCATTGTCAGGTGGATCAAACCAGTGGGGTAACGTCTCGATCAGCAAAGAAGGATTAAATGTGACTTGAAGGAAATTTTTGGGCGAAATATCGAACGCAAAGCAGAATTCTCTCGATAGAAAGGTTAGCAAAAAATCAACTCTAGAACTTTTTGCTAGTTTACATAAAATAGCCAACAATAGGATAAATTCGGGCCGAAGGATTTGACCGTAGATCATTTCTGATAGTACTGCTTGCCATCATCTCTCGTATTCAAGATAATATTATCTCTTGTTGCTGGTTTAAGATCGTATTGGTAGTCAGCGAAATCGACTTTTTAATACGAACCTAGCTAGCGTACCATTCTGTTATGCATTTCCAAGAGAACAGATGACCACATGGAGTCGCCGTCTTATCTCGGAGTATCTCCAAACACAGAGCACACAAAGTAATGAAAGACAGACTGCAATTCACTCAAGAATAAGGATCTCATGCGACCAGAAGAATTCTACTTCCGACGTGCTTAACTCTTTGAACACTAAGAGTGACCAGCACCTAATTTCTCCTTACAATATCACCCCTGAATCAAACATTAAGGACACGAGATTAAAGGAAACGATCACTAACGAAAGAATCCCTTAATTTTTAAACAAAATTCTCCTTGCCAGCTCCTTAGAAAATGTCTAGACAACAGTACGGAGAATATGCAAGCTGATGTATGGGTGTAAAGGGGGGCAACGTAACCAGATACACTGTACTAATATTCACGAGGGAGCTTTTCAGTCTCCAGTTTACAGTGTGGCAATTTCGTTCGGTGCAACTGCTACCCCAATGTGGCCATTGATGTCAAGAGGCTTTTACATAATCCAGTGGCACATCCTCTGTGCAATAGGACCCCCCCACCCCCCAAAGAAGAGGAACATCCAGAGGTGGTCGCGGTAGAGTGACAAATAGCGTGCTGCCCTGCTACAGCTCTTCTTTTGCTTTTACTTCCCTTTCTTGCAACGCAATCGCTCGAAAAAGCTTGACATTGAGAATAATATCCTGACACACATCATCAGGTGTTTTCACTCTCAGCACCCCCCTAGGAGAAACAATTCAGCTAAGATTGCAGTTGGAACTACCCAGACCATTTCTGTCTCGTTTTTGGTAACTTTTTCTATGCTACATTTGGATCATTTTTTTCAGAAAGAGGATCACAATTGTGTAAGTGGAACACACAGCTGTGTCATGATCTTACCTGGTACACTGTCAGAATAAGGGTGATAATCAGTTTTACAACGGACAGATAGCCAAGCAAGCGGTAAGTTGGTCTGGAACCGTCATTTCGGAGACTGTTTCGAACAAGCAGCTGCAGGAAATGAATGGTCGAAATGACATCACAACTATTTCAACTATTACACCGATCAGTGGTCAGTGCAGAGTGGATGTTCTTTTTGACTTGCAGTCGTAATTTCAACCTTTGCATGCCAGTTTTTGCTCAAGTAGTTCAATTGTTATTGTTGTTGTTTTTTTAATCGTTTACCTCTCAGTAAATTTCCTCACAGTAAACAGTTATCCATTCATACGTCGATGTAGACAAAGGAACTGCTAGAGTAAAGTGTCTTACGCAAGAGCAGAAAAAAATGAACTTTCGCAGGCTTGGAACCCAAACTTTCCGATTTAAAGTTCAGCTCGCCGTATACAACATTTTGCTTTCGAACGAACGATAAGGAAACATTACGTGAAAAAATCTTAGTTCCCGTGATCATTTGACTTCCATGACTTTGAAGCGGGAATCGACCGATGGGAAATGACAGACACAGCTATTATCTACCAGGCAACCTTTGGTAACAGTCCAGTCGCGCGCGGTAGAGAAAGCGCCCAGCAGCAAGGGCACTGGCGGGTAGGTGGAGTCGAGAATCGACCCAGCAAAAGCTTTCCTCCAGGAGAGCAACACCAAAACTGAACGGAAGCGACTCACCCCGTGGAACTCGAGGAACTCCCCTTGTTACCATACGGCTTGGCAAAAGTATCTCGTTTCTTATTGGTGATGGCTGTAACGTAAACGATATTCGGGAGGAGCTTACTGTCAACAACCAGGAGAGTACAATCAAAGTCGTTACTTCCTTTCCTTTCTAATATTCCCTTTTTTCCTTTTTTTAACAGCCTGTCATAATTAGTTTTGATTTGATTTTTCACAAGTAATTCTTTCCGCCTTTTTTGGCTTTGTTTTCTTCCTTTTTTGTTATTGTTTTCTCCGCTGTTGTTTTTAAGATCAAAATTATTAGATACAATGAATATATGAAGTTTATATATTTTGAACTGCGGTATTAGATACGTATGATGCACGATCCTCGCAGTAGATAGCGCTATTTATGCAATAGCGAAAATCAGACCTGAAAAAAAAATCAGGCCTGTAGGGGACTCGAACCACTGACCTCTGCGATACTAGTGCAGCGCTCTACCAATTGAGCTAACAAGCCAACTGGGAGCAGGCCGTTAAGTTGATTCGTAATAAACCCGTGAAAGTGATAAATGAGATGCAATGAATATATGAAGTTCATATATTTTGAACTGCGGTATTAGATACGTATGATGCACGATCCTCGCAGTAGATAGCGCTATTTATGCAATAGCGAAAATCAGACCTGAAAAAAATCAGGCCTGTACGGGACTCGAACCACTGACCTCTGCGATACTAGTGCAGCGCTCTACCAATTGAGCTAACAAGCCAACTGGGAGCAGGCCGTTAAGTTGATTCGTAATAAACCCGTAAATGATTAATGAGATGCAATGAATATATGAATCATATTTTTGAACTGCGGTTTAGATACGTATGATGTGCGATCCTCGCAGTAAAGCGCTATTTATGCAATAGCGAAAATCAGACCTGAAAAAAAAATCAGGCCTGTACGGGACTCGAACCACTGACCTCTGCGATACTAGTGCAGCGCTGCAGCGCTCTACCAATTGAGCTAACAAGCCAACTGGGAGCAGGCCGTTAAGTTGATTCGTAATAAACCCGTGAAAGTGATAAATCAGATACAATGAATATATTAAGTTCATATATTTTGAACTGCGGTATTAGATACGCATGATGCACGATCATGGTGGAAAATCAAATGAGATCAATTGAAGACGTTGACGCTTTTAAAAAGTCACTCAAGTGTATTTTTAAGCCACGTATATTATAATGATGTACTTTGTAGAATATTTATTGTAAATATGTAGAAATCTTGCATTAGTCTTGTAATTAGTCATGAATTTAGTTTTATTGTTTGTACACGACCACATCAGCTTTTGCTGAGTTTTTTATCGTGTTTAAATAAACTCTGTTGTTGTTGTTGTTGTTTGTTCGCAGCGCCCGTGGGCAAGATAAAGAAGAAAGAAAGTCTTAAGCACTCTATACAACAAACGTGTCTAGTTACAATGATAAGGTTGAGATCGGACGTCAGCGTTATCAGGCGCTTGCGGCAGCCGCTTCAGTCCATGTAACGATCTCACCTTCCCGCCCATCCCACACCGGGGGAGGACATCCACCACACAGTAATCTCGTGCGTGGGAAATTAACGTCCGCTACCCCTAACCCTGCAGGAGACGGGGCCTACGGTTTATTCGTCCTTATCCGAGAAGAATAGAATATCGATCCATTTCTTCGTATTATAGAAAGGTAGTACATTCTCCTCAGTTATTTTAAGACCATAAGTATTGGTCCAGCGTATCCTGTGTTCTGACTGGCTACCCGAGCGGGCAAAGATGGGCCCATCTTTCCCGCGTGAGATTGCCAGTATTGATCCCGCGCATGAAAAATAGAGTTAGAACTATGTTCGTAATTCTTGGACATTTTCGGCGATGGAAACGCAAAAAGTGGCGGAAGATAAACAAAACAAAGAAACAGAAACGACTCTCGTGAGGTTGGTGTTCCAAAAACACAGTTGGCTTTAACGTTTGTGAAAATGTAAAAGTCATATATTTGAACTGCGGTTAAAGAACGAGTATGAGAACGATGCCGGTGCAGTGCCTTTTCAGGCCTCAGCAGTCATGGGTTCGCAACCCGTACAGGCCTGAATCTTTTTCAGGCCTCATTTTCACTACTGCTTAAGTAGTGTTCGTTACTGCGAAAATCGTTCTCATACAGTTAGCTTTCTTTCCCAGCTCTCGAAGGAAACAAGTCATTACTTCATCAAGTGTTACTTTTATCGAGAAATATGCTTTGAAACGATGAAATAGCCCAGCTGATTAGTACTATCTATCTCTTTGGTGAACTATCCTTTCATGGAAAATGTCAATAAAAAAATCCTTCGGCAACTTTTATTTATTCTTGAGGAATCACCTGAATAGGAGAGAATACCAAAGCTATGGTTCACCAGGGTTGTTATCTCTACAATATTAAAAAAAGAGAACAAAACAAGATACCCGTAGCTAAAATAAAGGGACCCATTTAACCGCTACTCGACAAACAAAATATCGAAGACCGCGATTGATAGATTTTCTAGTTTAATGACTGATAAAGTGTAATTAATTCTTGTCTGCTCTTACGTTATCAAAAAGCCTCAAGAAGTTATCGTTCCAGCAAGAATGCTTGTAGTGTCTAAAAGCGAAAAGTAAGCCACATAAGGCAGCCACGAAGGCGAACAACTACAGTACACACTACACGTTTTTTTAATGATCTTCCCACGCTCAAACTCTCCCGGATGTATACTTTTACATATGCAACCGCCGTCCTAGTATACTACAATGTGCTCCTTTGAGATTACATGATAACCCAAGAAAGTAAACTAACCATGGATGTTTATAATACTCACTCATTCTGTCTTGAACAGAATCCCTGCAGCAGCAGTCCCTGTTTCAACAACGGCACGCGTCAAGCTGGATACACTGATAAAGGATTTCGTTGTAAATGTCCATCAGGATTCACTGGTGTATACTGCAAGAAAGGTAATTAAACACAAAACTGTATACGTAAGGTGAGATAAATACCGAATGATTATCATAGAGTATTTAGGGAGATATAAAAGTTTCGCTTTTTTTTTTTTTAATGTAGCTTGCAGCTTTGACTTTGAAAATGGAATCGGCGGGTGGGAAATGACAGGCAGAGCTTTTATTTACCAGCCAACATTTGGTGACAATCCAGTCGCGCGCGAAAGAGAAAGCGCCCAGCAGCAAGGGCACTGGTGGATAGGGGGAGCTGAGAAACGGTCCAATGAGAGCGATCCCGCAGGAAAGCAGCATCCAGCGGGAGCCGACCCACCCAACGGAACTCTCACCTCACCTTGTTTTCGTATCGTCGGAAAGAATATTTCGTTTCTTATTGGTGGGGGATGTACCGTATCTGAAATTCGTGCGGAGCTTATTGTCAACAGCCAGGTGAGATTATTCACTTTGACTATTATTTGTTCTTTGATTCTTTTAAAACATCTTAGGTAGATTGATCAAGGTACCAGATATTTAATCTTGCGAACCCTGTTGAACTTCGTTATGACAGTCCATAAAATTAACCAAGGTTTAAAAAGGGATACTTATGGGGAAAATATCTTTAAAAAGTAAATTTAAACATTTTCGACCCTTGGTCATCATCTGGGTTAGTGATGATGGCCCTGATAACAAACGAAAAAATTTGGCTTTACTTTTCAATTATCTTTTGAATTAGAAATGGCTTGGTTTGAGCTCAAGGGAAAGTCCGCAATATGACCAACTTGGTGTCTGGCACACTTGTTTAGTCTTTGGTTTACCCCCTTCGAAAGAACAGGTTTTTTCCCCTAAGTTTGAAGCATTGCAAGTAAATTAATATATGATATCGTCATGTTAGATACGTCAGCAATCGTCGGAACAAATGTTTAAAAACAGTTTATGTTTGTCGTTACGTTTAGGTCGTCAGAAAGGAGACAGGAAACTGTAATGAGACAATGTATCGTAAGGGCTGGGACGTATGCAACCGACATATGGAGCATAGTGGGGTTCTTTCTCACTTTTAATAGTTCTTTCTACTAGGATCGACTTTACAAGGAATGTACATTAATTGCTTTTTTCTTGGACGGGTAACTCGCCTCTAGTTAAAAGTAAAAAACTAACGGTAAAATTACAGAGATATCTCCTACGACAAGTTCTTTCTTCGGTAAAAAGTTTCAAACTCCTGGGATAACGTATCAGGTAAAACTCTCAGAGTAAAAAGAAGGCAGCAATAAGCCATTAGGGAGTGTCTCTCGAGGCAAATTAATTTCTTAAGAGTACTACCCTGCCAGCATCTTATTCTAAACCAAAACAGTGCACGAACTTGTTTTCTTATTTGCAAACCAAATAGGTCAAGAATGCCGATCCATTGTTTTCAAAGAACCCATACAGGAAAAAGTCATGAAAGGCCATCTGATTAGGCTTGAACAGGTGCCCCATCAAGGCAGCTGTAATGTGCTGTGCTATTTGAAGCCCAATTGCATGTCCATAAATGTTGGGCCTCAAGGAGGGAACTACATTTGTGAGTTAAACAATGCTTCGGACGAAAGCCCAGGCTCGTCGGACCTTCAGAGTAAACAATATTATACCCATCTCAGTATCGAGGTAAAGTAACTTATTTTAGACAATGAATAATTATTGTGGGCGATCAGTTTGTCAGATTACTTCTTAAACTAGCCTTGCAATTCATGTACATGAATTGAATTGAAGTAATTCCTCAGTATTGCATTGCGCATCCCGAGAAACGTTTTGACCTGATTTCGTTTGAAATCTTCTAAGCACCATTTCACTCCAGACTTTTACTAATCTACCAAATGTTTTTTTTTAAGTGGTACACAACGGGCTTTATAAAATTATCGAGAGATATGCTGTGAAACTATGGAATAACCCTCGTGATTAGTACTAGTACAGGCCTATCTAGGGTAGGATTGGCCTTTCTATCTCTTTGGTTACCTATCCTGTGTATGGTACTTCTAGAAACAGAGATTGGTGGAGAACTTTCAAGAAAAATGCCTATAAAGAAAAAAAATCCTTGGACTACTTTTTTTTTATTTATGAGGAGTCACCTGAAGGGAGAATACCATAGCTAAGATACGCCAGTGGTGGCATCTCTACAATGTTAAGTAAAGAAACAGCGAGATAACCGTGGCTAAAATAAAGGGACACCTTCAAAACAAATAAACCGGTACTTAACAAACCAAATATTGAGTACCGCAATTGGTAGATTTTCTGGTTTAATGATTGATGTGTAATTAGTTGTTGTCTACACTAAACTTAAAATGCCTCAAGAAGTCACCGTTCCAGCAAAAATGTGTTCCTTTGAGATTACATGATAACCCGGGAAAGTAAACTATGAATGCAGTAAATGGCTTGAATCCGGGGGTAACATGTGAAGGTGTAGTCTGATCGTGCGGGTGAGTGTAGTCCTGAGAAGGACTGTTGTCGGTGGTAGTGACTGACGTTTCGACAACCTGTGAGGAAGTCATCATCAGAGTCAAGTGAATGATTGTTTTCAGTAGAATGTTCTTATTCCAGTTCGTGTGAAATGATCGGTTGGTTTTGCCGTGATGTTATTGGCTGTAAGACTCAAGTGACGTAAGTCGGTCGTGATTGGTCTGTTTCGATCTGTCGGTTGGTATCTGAACAGTCTTGGTAGCGTTAATGAAGTCTTCAGTGGATTGTAGTTTATGTCTGGATTTGTCGGTTAGCGGTTGTAGTATTGTCGTCAGGTACTTGGATAGTTGGTATGTGGGAGAGCCACAGAAAGAAACAATAGGTCGCATCGGGAAACCAGGTTTGTGTAGTTTCGGCAAACCGTAGAGTTTCGGTGGCTGTGGTACCGAGCACCTCAGTCGATAGTACCGTTGGGTGTCAAAGGCGTTCGTTTTCTTGAGTGTCAGTAGTTTACTGTTGAGTTTACGTTGAAGTGCAGGAGTTGGGTCACGTTTGAGTTCTTCGTAGGTTCGTTTGTCGTTAACTAGTGCGTCCATTTTGTCGTGATAGTCAGTTTTGTCCATGACAACAGTAACTCGTCCTTTGTCGGCTGGTAGGATGACTATGTTCTCGTCGTTTCTCAGTCGTTTCAATGCGCGTTGTTCGTCTTTAGTCAAGTTGCTATCATGTAGTGACGTTGATTGTATAGTGAAGGCAATTCTGCTTCTGATGTTATCCTTGGTCGGCTCAGATAGCTCTCGTTGCCGAGACAGGGCCGCCTTAACACTAGATACAATAGCCTCGGTCGGTATGCGTTAAGGTGTTACTGAGTGTTTTAGTCCGTATGATAGTACCCGAGTTTCAGTCTTGTCTAAGGAACGAGAAGAAATGTTACTTACCCAGTTGTCGTCCGGTTTGCTTCGTCTCTCTTCTTTGTCTCGCAGCAGCCGTGTCAATTTTTGTTGATGTCCAGTGCGGGCGCGTTCATTCGTCTTGTTGGCTCGTTTATCGGCAATTGTCGTAACGGTGTCAAGTAGGTCAGTTGGTATCAATTGTTTCAGTTGGTCGTGTAGTTGTCGTAGTTTGTTTCTGTGGCGTTTGGGTCTTCTGTGGCAATCATTTATCCGCGCTACGAGGCAAAGAAGAGAGACGAAGCAAACCGGAGGACAACTGGGTAAGTAACATTTCTTCTCGTTCCTTAGACAAGACTGAAACTCGGGTACTATCATACGGACTAAAACATTCAGTAAACAAGATTATACCCATCTCAGTATCGAGGTAAAGTGACTTATTTTAGACAATGAACAATTATTGTGGGCGATCAGTTTGTCAGATTACTTCTTAAACTAGCCTTGCAATTCTTGTACATGAATTGAATTGAATTGATTCCTCAGTATTGCATTGCTCATCCTGAGAAACGTTTTGACTTGATTTCGTTTGAAATCTTCTGAGCACTATTTCGCTCCAGACTTTTACTAGTCCGCCAAATGTTTTTTTTTAAGTGTTACACAATGGACTTTATAAAACTATCGAGAAATATGCTGTGAAACTACGAAATAACCCTGGTGATTAGTACTAGTACAGGCCTATCTAGGGTAGGATTGGCCTTTCTATCTCTTTGTTTACCTATCCTGTGTATTGTAGTTCTAGAAACAGAGATTGATGGAGAACTTTAAAGGAAAATGCCAATAAAGAAAAAAATCCTTGGACTACTTTTTTTTTTTATTTATGAGGAGTCACGTGAAGGGAGAATACCAAAGCTAAGATACACCAGTGGTGTCATTCCTACAATGTTAAGAAAATAAATAACGAGATAAGCGTGGCTAAAATAAAGGGACCCATTCAAAACAAATAAACCGGCACTCAACAAACCAAATATTGAGTACAGCGATTGGTAGATTTTCTGATTGAATGATTGATGTGTAATTAGTTGTTGTCTGCACTAACCTTATCAAAACGCCTCGAGTAGTCTTCGTTTCAGCAAAAATGTGTTCCTTTCAGTTTACATAATAACCCGGGAAAGTGAACTATAAATGTTTATGATACTCAGTCATGTTGTTTTGAACAGAATCCCTGCAGCAGCAGTCCCTGTTTCAACAATGGCACATGTCAAGCTGGATACACTTATAAAGGATTTCGTTGTAAATGTCCTCTAGGATTCACTGGTATATACTGCAAGAAAGGTAATCAAATACAAAACTGTAAAGTGGAATCCATACCGAATGATAATCAAAGAGTATTCAGGGGTATGAAAATATCTTTGTTTTTTGTTTTTTGTTTTAATGTAGCGTGCAGCTTTGACTTTGAAGATGGAATCGGTGGGTGGAAAATGACAGGAACAGCTTTCATTTACCAGCCAACATTTGGTGACAATCCAGTCGCACGCGGTAGAGAAAGCGCCCAGCTGCAAGGGTACTGGTGGGTGGGGGAAGCTGAGAAACGGCCCAAAGAGAACGATCCAGCAGGATGGCAGCATCCAGATGGAGCTGACGTACCCAACGGAACTCTCACCTCACCTTGCTTTCGTATCGTCGGCAAGAATATCTCGTTTCTCATTGGTGGGGGATGTGACTTAAGTAAAGTTCGTGCAGAGCTTATTGTCGACAACCAGGTGAGATTATGCGGCACTTCGACCATTATGTTTCCTGTAATTCTTGTGAAACAGCCTAAGTAGATTGATCAGAGTATAAGATATTTGTTTTTTTTTTTTTAAATTGCGACACCATTTTGAGCTTCGTGATATCCATAAATTTTGCTTATTTTGAGCTTCCTCGGTGGAAAGTTCGCGAGATAACCAACTATGCGTCTGACACAGTAAATTTCATTTTATTTGTCTTTCTCTTACCCTCACTCGAAACGACAGATTGTTATTTCCCTAAGTTCAAAGCACTGCAAGTCAATTAATGTATGATGTAGTCGTGTTAGATATGTCAGCGATCGTCGAAACAAAGGTTTAAAAGCTTTTTGTGTTTGTTGTTACGTTAAGGTCGTCAGAAAAGAGACAGGAAACTGTTCTGAGACAATGTACCCCAAGAACTGGGAAGTAGAGGAGTTTATTGGTCAATACGCCAAAGTCAGACTCGTTGACGAAACGGATTGTTGTTGGGGACACATCAACTTTGATGACCTTAAAGGAGATATCATTTGTCCTCACGATTTAGACGAGAAAAACTGAAGAGACAGCGACTTTTGAAAGTAGCTTACCACCTCAAGTCATGATTTGTGCAAATAGTCACCTTAAAAGTATGATTAAACAGCTTTTGACGTAGTACAAATCACTCTGTTTTTGTCAACAGTAGCAAAACATTTTGAAACAATTTGATGCACGTGTCTGTGAAGGCTCTTAACATATAATGCAATGGTTATATCGATTTACTGCGACAGTAAGGAGTATTGCTTTAGATACTAGCCATCGCCTATTAAAGTGCTGTTTTTTAGTTGAAACGTCTGTTGAAGGCATTAAGAGTCACACGTTATTTACTTTGCGAGATCTATATTTGCAAAAGCTTCAAGAAGATTCTGTTTAGGATCAGATCGGTTGAATTAATTTCATTTGACGGCTGACGGTTAATTTTTTGAAATATTGTTTATAAAACAAAATAAACGCGCGGATTTGGCTGCAATTTTTCATAACAAACTACAGTTTTTCCCATAAGCTAATAATCAGGTTAATCCTATAATTTGTGCGTTAAAAATTAGGTTTCTGGTCTTCAACTGTGTGTCTTATTAGCGTAATTACAGCATCTTTGTTACCGCTGGACGTATTAATAGCCTGCTTCACCAAGTGGTGTACTTGTGCGAGGAGTCGCATAAGGATCTCAAAGTCCTTGCTTATCACAGATCAAATCTTATCGATGCTTTTATCAGTCTCCGCGATCTTGCTATGGAACTCTTTCATTCTCGTACACAGTTGGCGGAAGAGCGCCTCGTTTGTCTCTCTTAGTCTTGCTTCGAACGGTTCTCTGCCTCCTTGGTCTGTAATCTTTTACCCATTCTTTCCGATTTCCACTTGTTTTGGAATATTTCCTGCTGTCAAGGAGGTCATAAATGTAGCGGCACTGAATGGCATACTAGAGGAACAGGATAGTACACCACAGGTTGTGTAAAATAACTGGCTGTCCACTTTGTAATCCGTTTAAGGGACTCCTTTGAGTTCCAAAGTCCATGGCGTACTGAAGTACACTAAATGTCTAATATATAGATTTAGCCAAGCGTAAAAGCGGAGCTCCTAATAAGTGAAAATTTTTCAATAAAATTTCTTGACATATATTAACAATTTTTAGCCGAAAATTCATTCAGTATAGATTAAACCTATTGACACTTACGTGTAACACGCGCCTGTGAAAAGTCCAAGTTTTGGAGAAACCAAGAAAGGAAACACAATGCGCAGTAAATTTTTAAGAAACATCTTTTCCAAAAAACAAGCTCGAGCGAAAGAAGACTACTTAAAGAACTTATTTCCGACGAAAAAAGCGATAGGTGCACATTACGTTTTAACTAAAAAATCAAGATGAAAGATAAAAATCACGAAATATTTTGGAGGTTACTAAAACTAGTAACGGAGAACGGGGAATGGGGAACGGGGAACGGGGAACGGGTGTACAGCGGTAACCCACCTGAGAATTCAAAATGGGGGAGTAAACGATGTTTACAAACACTGATTTTATCGCTAGGTTGCCGCTTGCAGCGAAATTAGACGACTCGCTTTTATTTAAGCATTGCCCTGGCGAATCCACGAGGCCTAGTATTCCGAGGCGAGAATTCGAAGTCAACGTTTCTGCAATGGCTGCCACCATTTGTTTTGATGTCTCTCTTTGTTTTTCCTTCCTGAAATTTGCATCTTTTGGCAGAGTTTGGGTATGTTGGTTGTTTGCATTGCCCAACAACAATTTTTGCAGATAAGTAGCAAGGAGGTAATGTCTTAGATCAACAGAAATGAGCTAGGAAACTTAATAACCAGCCTAATTATCAAAATTACTACATGCAGATATCTGCTTACCTTACATAAAATAACATCAGGAACATATCTTTGTATCCACCCATAAACTTCCATGTAAACAACAGAGAAATCAAAAATTGACAGAACTTTTAATAACATTTAATTTAATAGGAAAACATGAGTTATGTCTTCAAGAATGTAGGTGTATGAATTCACATTCGTGCTAATGCTTACAATAATATTTACACTGCATTGATCATATTCAAGAGAAAGTGATTCCCATAATGGGCGTGAAAGTCATTCAGCTGTTTGCTTTACAAAATTATTGATATTGCTATGTTGTAACAGTGAAGATATTGGAGGTAAACTTCATTACCTTGCAGTACAATTACTCTATGAATATAAGAATAAATGCCGCGGACATGTAGTTCTGATTTCATTGTTCAAATTTTATGAAGTTCATATATTTTCATTGTATCTGATTTATCACTTTCACGGGTTTATTACGAATCAACTTAACGGCCTGCTCCCAGTAGGCTTGCTAGCTCAATTGGTAGAGCGCTGCACTAGTATCGCAGAGGTCAGTGGTTCGAATCCCGTACAGGCCTGAATTTTTTTTCAGGTCTGATTTTCGCTATTGCTTAAATAGCGCTATATACTGCGAGGATCGTGCATCATGCGTAAAACTTCAATTTGACACAAAATCTTCTATTAAACAATACTGTTGAACACATTGTTACTCAAACATAATATTTACCGGGTAATCGAATCGCCAAATTGTCGCTAGGCCCTGCTTGAAGTCCGAAAGTTCGTTTTCACTTTACGTCCATAATTCGCGTCGCCTTGGAGAATCGTAGTGTCGTTGACTCGATAGCTTATTCTGTCACCTTTAAGACCTTGATATCCATTCTTTTCCAAGCAGAATATTCTATAGCATTGTTACTTTACATTCTGAGTTCCACAAGGTCTAACTCGATCGCAAATGAACGAAAAATTCGACTTGAAATTTTTGAGGATCGGCCGCGCGGACGCCATATTAGGGACCTTAAGGCCCGGTTCAGACGCCGAACTTTTCATGAGCCGAACTCAATTCGAATTTGGACCGACCCAAATTAACAAAAATACGCCTGCTGATTCAGATGCCTTTCTTTTCGGCCGTTCCAAATTCAGTTTCAGTAAAACCAGTCAGACTGCTTGCAAAATACATTACAATAATTTGTGCATTAGGATCGACACGTGAAAAGTACGGCGTCTGAATTAAAGCCGTTCCAAAGGCGTTCTATAGGCGAAACTCTCGGCTAAGCCAGGCGGGAAAAACGGGTGAGCCGTTCCAAATGAACTAGCCGTTCCAAATTGATTCAGACGCCGATCTTTTCATGTACTTAATTCAAGGAATTAGGTTCGGCTCATGAAAAGATCGGCGTCTGAACCGGGCCTAAGAATCGGACAAATCTATGACGTTGACGTAGACCAGAAGTGCAAGTCTGCATAATTAACTTTGGTTGCCCTTAGTTACCGTTCTGGCCTCTCGTCTTGTTGACCTTCCCGACGATAAACCAGGGCAAGTCCCGTTTTGTCGAAACGACAGTAATTTTCGATAGCAAGTTTTTTTTTTAAGGTAAGAAAAAAACTCGAGAGAACCCACGATCAATACCAACGAATGTTGTTTATCAACATAAATCCATTGCGAAAACAGACCCTCACTGTTGGTTTACTTTTTAGCTGTGCCGAAATATTAAGGTTTGCTTAATTTTTCCTATGTTTAGGCATCACCAAAATAGACTAGTTATCATTTAGTGCTTTAATGGCTGTCTTAGTTTACATAAGCGATATGTAGTTTTGAAAGGAGAAAGAAACCATTGTAAATTATTGTAACTAGCGCTTTTTGAATTTTCTTGCTAATCCATACGAAACTTCCGAGTTATGTAACCTGCCGGGCAAATGCGCAAAATAACCTCTCGTATATTTATTGTTTTTCGGCTGGCTTTCAGTTAATTTAAAGCGTTGTTCCTGTTTAATAATTTCTCAATTGCTTTCGTAGCTTGGGAATCGCTAGTTGTTTCTGGCAACCGCACGAATAGACAATAATTTGCACAAATTACATTTTTTACAACTGTTGGAACTACTCAGTGTACGTGAATGTAACGCATAATGTGTAAGTAAAAAGAACTGATTCCACTGGGTTAGTCTCTGTTGGTGATTGTTTTAAATAAAATTCATAACTTCTTTGGTGATCATGCTTATAACGAGAACAGAACGTCCAAATAGTGCAATCATATCACTGAGGCGGCAGAGATAAGCAAAACGTCGCAGAAGCATACACAGTCCTTCAGTACCATCAGATATACTCCTTTGCTGGCACTTAATGACCGGAGGGATACCCAAAGCATCAGCCAATCTTGAAATATCTTGTTTTTCGACACGAAAGTCAGCTACACACTCGACCGCGTCCAAGGCATCGAAGTTAAAGAGTTCGTAGTTTTCGTGTGGAAACGTACTCGCGATTTTTTGACTGATTAATGTCATAGAGGAGCATAAAATCGTCTTCGTCAATAATTGCATCAACATAACATTCCAAAACTAAGTTTCTAGTCTCTTGAAACGACACCATTTAATGAACGCATATGTGACTTACCACTTTCGCGGAAACGTCGCGTACTCATTTTAGTCACATTGTCTTAAAGGTCGGCACACACGCCGACCTGGGTGGAGGCGAAGCTTTCCCGTCTTGTTTTCTCGTTTTTCTGGTCTGGCAAGTGTGAGCTCGTCTCCCGTTCGGCCGTGGTTCAATCTCCCCTTTTTGGTGGTTTTTCTGTGGTTAATATTCAGTCCAAGGTGAGGGCCCTCCTTGGTCAATGGGTGAGGAGATTCGTCTCCTCCCCATCCAGTTGGGTCGCTCTCATGTCCTTTTGGTTTAACTCTTTGTTTGGTGTCTCTCCTCTTGTTGTGTTTTCTCGTCCTCTTAGTTTCGACCTCAGGGTCTTGCCGCCCTTCGATCAAGCTCTGGTTTTGGCCTGGCGTAAGCTCGACGGGGCTTTCGCCACGTCAAAAAACTCTTTAGTCTACGGCTCTTCATGCCCTCTTGTTTGTTCTCCCGTTCTTACTATGTCTACCAAGTCTTGCTACCTATATCTTCTCTCTGAGAACATGGTCCAGCCTTATTGTGTCCTTAAGTTTCTATTCATCTATCCCAACCTTGACTGGCCTGCCACGTGGCGTGCCCTATCCTTCTTTTATCTTGACCGTCGTGTCATCGACCTAAATTGGAAGATTGCGCACGGCGTCCTGTACACCGCCCGGCGTCTCTCCTCTTTTGGTTTATCTGTTCCTCTCTCGTGTTTTTGTGGACCCACGGTCGAGTCACTCAAGCATTTGTTCTTCTACTGTCCACTTGCTCAGAGTGTTCTCGCCTGGGTCCAGTCCTTGCTGTTTTCCTTCTCTCCTATGTGTCCTGCCATCTCTTTACGTCATGTCCTCTTTGGTTTCAACTCTAGTGAACTGGTTTCTGTCCCGCGTGTCTTTGTCTATCTGCTCAATGTTTCTAAGTTTTGTATTTGGCGGAGTAGGAACGATTTCCGTTTCCGTAACGTTCGTCCTGGCGCTGTGGCGGTGATTGCTTCTATCAAGGCCCGCCTGAAGTTTTATTTACCAATTTCCTTCAGGCGGTGCAAGTCTGACAGGCGTCGTCGCGTCTTCCATCGTCAGTGGGGCGCCCGTGGCATCATAGCTTCAGTGGTAAACGACTCCCTTGTCTTTTCCATTTAGTCCTGCTCCCCGTAGTTATTTAGTTTCCTTTTTTGCTCGAATGAGTGTGTCTCGGTTAGGCTCGTGCTGGGTCTCCTTTATTGGTGTACTGCACAGTAGCCTCGTTCTTCTTTTGCTTGAGTGACGTGTGATCTTTTGCTTGAGTGAGCGTGTCTTTGTGCTGCTTGTGCTGGGTCTCCTTCATTGGTGTACTGCACAGTAGCCTAATTGTTAGTATCTGTTTCGTAACCCATGAGCTCCCAGACGAAGCAACCACGT